GAAAATTGGAAATGGGGAAAGACCAAAACGCTTTTCTAAATTTGCTGATAAGTAACTTTTAAGACCTTTCACTTGCTCATTTCTGAAAGCATCTCAACATCCACCTAAGAAGCCTCCAGGAAATCATATTGAAAGCTTTCTCAGCATAAGAAAAGGTTTTTGGAATCTGTTCATTATCAGTTACTTATGCTGAATGCTGTGGTAATATTTACTATATTTTCCGGCGTATAGGACGACTCGGTGTATAAGATGACCCCCGACTTCGGCGCCAATTTCCATGCCTAGAAAGTCGTCTTATACGCCGGAAATTATGGTACCTTAGAAGTACTGAATTATATCTAGTTATTTCCTTTTTTCTATTTCTTCTTTTTCTTTCTCATTTGCCCTTTAGGGACAAGTATTTCTTTTCCATGTAGGATCTCAGGATTTTATTGAGCAATGGCTAGGAGTAATTCCTAGCATTTTTTGATAAAAGTTATGGTGAATGCCACTGTATATGAGATACAAATTATAAGTGCACTTTTTTATTATATTATGCTTACATACCATAAACCAGCAGAAGGGGGAGGCAGATGGAGATGATGGAATGTTTATTTCAGAAATTCAGACACATAATCAATCAATCAGTCAGTCATCAATACCATTTGAATTTGCTTGTGATGTTTAATTCTCCTATAACAGGGGTGTCAAACTCAATTTCATTGAGGGCCGCATCATTGCAGTTGCCCTGGGGAGGGGGTGTGTGGGGCGGCCTACTGGGTGGGCATGGATGGTGTGGCCTACTGGGTGGGCATGGCCAGCTCTACATCGTTTGCGTCAAGGGTGCCTGTGGGGGCCTGGGCAGGAGTGGGACAGATCTGGAGGTCTCTGGCAGAAGGGGGAGGGACCGGGGCAAGTGCCAAGGCATGGTCCATTTCTTCATTCCTCACAAAGGGTGACACTTCCCCAGCATGCACCCAGGGGGCGGGGCCACACGGCAGGGGCTGGTTCCTCGCTGTTTCCAGACGGCTTTGTGGAGATAAGACTGAATGCGTTTCGGAATAGATGGCCACCACAAAATTGTACATTGGCTCCCGGCCGGCCTGGGCCAGGGCCAAGGCAGAGGGGGCCGTTCCCTCACTGTTTCCAGGATGGCTTCGCGGGTCACTTGAAACCACTTTGTGGGTCGCATCCGGCCCCCGGGCCTTGTGTTTGACATGTCTCTCCTATAAGGCTGCAAACCTATTACGCTCTTATCTAGGGCTAAATCTTATGGAACTCAAGCCCATAACTGAGCAGGCATGTATAAGATTGCACTGTGCCATAACAGTTAACATGCTGATGGGTCCTTGGTGCTCTCTGAGCTTGGTTGTTTTCTTGCAGACATTTTGTTACCCAAATTAGGTAATATCACCAGTGCACAAACAGAACAGAACCAAGTAACAGAGTTGGAAGGGACCTTGGAGGTCTTCCAGTCCATCCCCTGCTCAAGCAGGAGACCCTATGCCATTTCAGACAAATGGCTGTCCAAACACTCCTTAAAAACTTCCACTGAAGGAACACTCAAGCTTGGAGAGCTCCAAGCATCCCTCATTTCAACCCTGAGCTACAAATATTCCCCTATATTATTTAACTTTCTGTAGAACAAGATAGCATTGCTGTAAATGGTTTTGTGTTAGCCTAATAAAATGGGACTGCCTGCTGGAGCTTAATAGATGCTGTAATTTGGGTGTTAATCTTCTGTAAAGAAAGTGGAATCTTACAAATATTTGTTCAGAATAAGCTGCACTGATTCCACTGAAAGTCACATCAGAGAAGGCAAGAAAAAAGCAGCTTTTCTAAACAATGCCTTTGTTTATTTCTGACTAGGCATAGTTATATGGGAAAGAAAGGTGTATGTAACTGATATCATTACAAAGTTTGGAATGTTCTTTCTTTTTGGAATGTGACCTTTCCAACCTTTCCCAAAACCAGACTGTAAAAAGTAAGGTTATCACATCAAGTTTACAAAGATCAGGAAACCACAACTCTTTGCTGCCCTCTAGTGATCATCTATGTTTTTGCAGCTCATGTATGATTTAATTTTGTAATTTATTGGGTTTGTAATTTACTGGGACATTTCTTGTACAATTTCACTATCTAGTACATGAAAAGACTAATGAAAAGATTTAAGTTGGATAAGAATTATGAATTTGAAAAGGCTAAAACTGAATTTGATGTAGAGCTCTGTACAAATGATGATTGTACCATTGCTAATAATATAAACTTTTATTGAAAATGGAAACAGAATGAACAAGTTAAAGATTGTATGATAAAATGGGCAATAAAATTTAAATATAATGTACAGTTGGAGAATGGGAGAGTATATGGAAAAAAGGTTGAAATTTACATTGAATTATAAACTTAAAAGAATTTTTATAAAATGATGTATTGTTGGTACATGACAGGATACATTGTCAAAATATATAAGGAAATTTCAAATATTTGTTGGAAATTTTCTTGGAAATATAATCAAACTGAAGCAACATTTCTTCACAAATGTTTGTTAACATTTCTTAACAAAGTAGAAAATATTGGGATCTAGTATATATTTTGATGCAGAAGATTTTAAAAGTAAATATACAATTGAAACCACAGGCCTTTCTTTTGGGTTTAATGGACAAACAAATGGAAAAATCTTATAGAACTTTGTTTTTATATATGATAAATACAGCAAGACCTTTGTATGCTCAAAGGTGGAAGGACTTCAAATACTTAAAATGGAAGAATGGATGGGGAAGCTGATAGAATTGGCAGAGATAGCAAAATTGACAGCCTTGATGAAAAGAAAGTCTTTGACACATTTTATTTCTACTTGGTAATCATTTTTGGATTTTTTTGTAAGAAACTGACAAAAAGGAAAAATTGATTTTGAGATTTTGGAATTAGAATTATATGGGATTATGGAAATGTAGTCAGATGTTAAACTTGGAATAAGCACTTCATGTATTTTTTACTTATATCTGTACCAAAGAAAGCTGGAAGTCACTATTTTTCTATCTTTTTTCTCTTTCTTCCTTGCACTTTCATTGTTTTCTTTCCTGAGCTTTTTTTTTCAATAGTTTTTCCTATTGTGTCAATAAAATCAATAAAGAAGCATGCACAAGCATGCATGCACACATACACACACACTCAGAGGAATAGCTGACCTAAAGTCTGAATATATAAATGCAGTTTTGCTTGTAGGATATTAATCTTGCCAAGTTATTTATTAGCATTATTGAATTACTGCATGATATGCATGTTCACACCTCTTAAAGCAGAGGCAGCAATACCATCATGGTAATTTCCTGGCAACTCCAGTCCTGGCAAACGAAAGCTCAAGACTGTATTGGTTGGAAACATGCAGAAGAGGCCTTCATTCTGCAGTGGATAGAGAATGGCTAGAATGATGTTGATTATGATGATGAGAATGGAATGAAGACTGACAGATGTGGCTCCATTGCTGATTGGGCAGATGTGGGCTTCAATGTCCATTCAATGGATGTGGAATCCATTACTGTCTGGCAGATTACTGGTCTAGCACTTTTCATTTAGCATGAAAAATCCTTTCAGCAGGATTCTGAATCCTCTAGGAATGCCTCAAGTCTGTTCAGAGTAAGCATGGCTCTGGGGGGGGGGGCATGTTACCATTAATTCTTATTAATGATCTTAATGTTTGCTTTGTATTACTAGCATCCTCTTCATTAAAAGCAATTTGAAATTAAAATACTTTTAAGATCCCTCGGAAATAAGAGTGGGAACCCATCTCTCAGTAGATAGAGTGCAATGGGAAAAAAAGTTACAATGAGCTCTGAAAGCATTTCACTCCAGAACATCTTGCTCACATTATGGTTTATTTAATAATTTATTCCATAAATAGCAGTTGGTCCCATAGAAGCTCACAATACTCTTGAGACATAAACCAGTGTTTGTAAACACTGTCTGAATTCACACACATTTAACCATACCATGGCTAATGCAATGTGTCAGTCCAATTATTTCTCTTCTTTATATTCTGAGGACCTGGGATTTCTGTTTTGCTTGCTGTACAAAAGAATGCATTGGATGAATGCCTAATGCTCCTTGAAATGGTGGCTGTGTTCATTATTTGTAGAAACTTTTCAGACTAACACATTTTATTAAAAAACAGATACAAATAATGCTCAAGGTGCGACAGACCATCTAATGAATGTTTGTAATTACAAGACACCCCTCAAAAGCTACATGTGATCTGATTTCAAAGTTAGAATGGCTGCAGCAGGCCTGCGGGTTATTCAACCCTATGACCCACCATAGAGTGGTTTGCAGCACCCTCTCACCTCTCTCCCCATCCAATCCTACCCTGCCAAAACCCTGCAGCGCTTGGATCTCCTCCTCCCCACAGACCCATCACGCCCACACTTATCTGCTGAAGCTCTCTGAATCTCTTGTTGTGGAAGGAAGGAAGGCCATGTGTCCCCAGGATGCACAGTGGCAATCCAAATGTGGCCACCATTCTGTCCTCCCCGTTTGTGGGTGGGAAAAAATGGTGGCCGCCAGAGAAACTGCTTCATTTTGCTGCTTTAGAGAGATCTGCACAGTGCTGCATGCAGAAACTTCTGAAACTTCTCCAGCCCTCTGCAGACCTTGGTAAGGTGGCGAAACGAAGCAGTTTGTCCCTGGGCTCTTTGGCAGTGACTTGAGTGCGGCCAACATTTTGTCCCTCCCATTTGGGAATGGGAACAAAATGGTGGCTGCCAGATAAACTGCTTCATTTTGCTGCCTTGAGAGAGGCTTACACAGTGCTGCAAAAGCTTCTTAATGCACTGTGCAGAGCTTGTTAAGGCAGTAGAACAAAGTACTCTCTCCCCAGGCACTGAAACAGACACTCAAACATAGCTGCCATTTTGTACCCACCCACAAATGGGCGGGGACAAAATGGCAATTCTACATACGCTGCTTCACTTTGCTGCCTTAGAGAGGTCTCCAGAGTGCTACAGAAAGCTTCTCAATGCACAGGGGAGAGATCTTGTTTGAGACAGCAAAATGAAACCATTTGTCCCAAACGATGCAGAGGCGGTGACCCAAATGCGGACGACATTTTGTGGACAAGACAAAATAGTGGCTACTTTCAGAACGGTTACATGTACCCACACAAAGTAAGAGTCATTCTAGCACTCTGGAAGGCCTCAGAGCCCTTCAAAAGCTAAGTGAGAAGAAGATTTGGCATGGTGGGGTGGGAATCAGGCCTGTGGTGACCCAAGGCAACAGAAATGGAGGTGGGGAAGGCTTGGGAAGGAACCCCATGTTCCACTTAACCACCTGTACATTTGTTTTATGTTTCATTGGGGAGAACAGATAGGGAGGTTGTTTGGTAATGCATTTTACCTAATGACTGCTGCAATGTGCGACTGTAATGGGCAGGTTCCATTACAGCCATATTTTGAGGACCACTATTATTTAAAAGTTTGTGCCTTTGTCCTTTAACCAAACTCCTTGGATTGTAGAATCTCAAAAGGGGTGTGGAGCAATGCTGCAAAAATTGGGATAAAACGCACAAAAATGTGCCCAACACATAATCTAGAAATCATTGGTTGCTAGAGATGAAACTACATCTAAAAGAGAACAACCATAGTTTTATTTTTATTTATTAAATTTATATCCCGCCCATCTCTTCTACAAGGTGATTCTGAGTGGCTTATTGGTTGATCAGGTCACTAACATTCCATATTCTTTAAATTTTATAGTGTCCGTTAGTGTCTGTTAGTATCAGTTGATCAGTTATCAGGTCACTAATATTCCATATGCTTTAAATAATATAGTGTGTTTGTTATCAGTTGATCAGTTATTTGGTCACTAATATTCCATATGCTTTATATATTACAGTGCTTGTTAGTGTCTGTTACTGGAATTTGGACCACTAACAAATGGGCAAGAAATGCCAGGCTGTGCTGGCCCAAAGGCAAAAGGAGGTTGCCCAAGAAACCAGGCAGAGAAATAGATTGGGTTCCAGGGGCCTTAAAGAGAAGGAGGGGAGCATGATAGAAGTCTAGTACTTGAAGGACTGCTATAGGGAAAGGGTGTTGATTCTCCATAGCAGTGGAGGGTATGACAAGAAGCAGTAGGTAGAAGCTCTTCAGAGAGAGATCCAACCCTGGAAATAAGGAGGAATTTCCTGACGGTGAGAACTGTTAAGATAGGAACATTTTGCCTCCCGGAGTTGTGTATACTCTGTTGCTGGAGATTTTCAAGAAAATATTGGGTAATCATTTATCTGAGATCCTTGGGCAGGGGATTGGACTAGAAGTCCCTTCAACTCTATGAATCTATGATTCTTTCTGTGCTTTGTGTCACACGCGATTGTGCTTCTCTGTTTTTTATGAACCAACAGCTTCCCACATAAAAGGCAGAAGCCAAAGACCACCAAGAGAGCCAGTCACCAGATTACCCAGCCGCTCCTAGTCCCAAATGAGTTCCATCTTTTGTAAGGCTTCCCTGATTGCCAAGGGAACAAGATTGTGAACCTAATCACAGCACTGCTGCTTCTATTTGCTTCATGGACTGAAAGACCAACATCTATCTTGGCTACGGCAGCACAAAGGCTTTTCAGAGAAATTGTGGCCATTTCAGCTACCAAGGGTATAGGAGAAATATGCTTCCCCATTCTTCTGCCTGGCTCACATCTATTTCTCTTTTCTCTTCACAAAACCTCTGGAAAAGTGCTTTCACGTTACAGGGGCACCAATGTACAAGACATTCCTGTGCCATGGTCTTCCCCTAAATCCTGGGCATGGTGGAGCACCTCTGATGGACAGCAATATGTGTAAGAACCTCTCCCCAAGACCACTTTCCACAAGGGGCTTGCAGGGACAAAAAGATATGTTACTGGCTGGTCTTAATTGGATATTTTTTTGACATATCACCTTTCTTTGGTCAGAACTGATGAGGCCCAGGAGAGAAGCAGGAGAGATCTTGTGACGAAGATATATCTCCGTCTCCAGGGGTAAGGATGGTTTTGCAATATGGCCATGCCTCAGAGCTGGGTGGGGAAGGGAGGAATTCTCACTTAGGGGAACATAGCCAACCTAGCAAACTCCAGAAGAGCCTCTAGGATTTCTGGAAATCCTTGATAGCTTGGAGGGCAAAATACTGGGAAATACTAGGGAAGAGTCGTTTGAAACATTATTAAGGAGTTGGAAGCGAGGGTCAGAGGGAATATGACAGGAAACAGATCCTGCCCAGTCAGCAAGAGAAAGTTGCAATACATCTGAAGAGGCAAATAAAGGTTCCCATATAGTAAGAGACATGGGGACATATAAAAAAACAATATCAAATCCAATTAAACATTTTGCTCGAAAACGGCCCTTTGTAATTAAAAGAGCAAACATATATGGCAGTGGATTGATAGATTTGCGAGGGGTATTGGGGAGGTGAATCCATTCAACAATGGAGACGCTCCCCTTTTGATGTTGGAGAAGGGCAGCTGTAGGAATAGAAGGAGTATTAAATATGGCCAAAGACAAAGGCTCATTGGGAATGGCCCAGTCCACCCATCGGGTGGAGAGGGCACTATTGATTAAGGCAAAAACATGTTTTTGAGTAGGGTTAAGAACAACAACAGAGGAGGGGGAAGTGTGGCCTCGCAAAGCCAAAAATAAGGGTGCCAATTGGGCAGTGGTGAGTGCAAGAAATGGACGCACAAAATTTATGGTGCCCAAGATTTGTTGTAAAGCAACTAAAGTGAGAGGAGAAGGAAGGTGGATGGCAGGGAGTACTGGAACAGAATGAGAGGCTAGGACTTTGTGTCCCAGATATAAAAAGGGAGATTGGGTCTGAACTTTTTCTGGGGCAACAATAAAGCCATAAGAAGCTAAAAGCTGAATGAGTTGGGGTAGGACAGTTTGTACTGTGCCAGGAGGACCCAGGGCAGCTAGGAGAATGTCATCCATATAGTGATAAAGCAAAAAGTTAGGATAGGATTTGCGAAAAGGCATCAAGGCAGCGTCCACAAAAGCTTGACATATGGTGGGGCTGTTAAGCATGCCTTGGGGAAGAACAGTCCATTGATAGCGAGGAGTAGGTCGGGACATGTTAGTTTGAGGCAAAGAAAAGGAAAAAAGTTGTTTGTCATCAGAGTGTAAAGGAATGGTAAAAAAACAGTCTTTTAAATCAATAATTGCCAAATCATAGTCTTTGGGGATCATATTTGGGTTGGGCATTCCGCACTGTAGCGGACCCATGGGTTTAATTATTTTGTTAATGAGGTGTAAATCATGAATAATTCTCCAGTTGCCTGATTTCTTCTTGACTACAAATACTGGGGTGTTATAAGGACTGGTAGTTGGTTCCAAATGGCCAGATTGTATTTGCTGATATTCCAGTTTCTGCAATGCTTCCTGTTTTTCTAAAGTGAGTGGCCATTGGTCCACCCACACGGAGGTGTCAGAAAGGAGCGTAAGCTTCATGGGTGAAGGAGGCATTGTTAGTCTTCCAGAGTTAACTTCGCATTAAATTGAGAGAGTAAGTCTCTGCCCCATAAATTTGTGTGAAGAGGGAGGACGACAGGTTTAAATTAGCAGAAATGCCTTTTGTGATTCGTTGTGCAGTAAGCCAATTTTTACTGGAGCTTGCCTGTTGGAGACCTCCCACTCCCCTGACTGCCAGCGAGGATTCAAGAGGCCAGTTAGAGGGCCATTCAGCTGTTCTTATGACTGAGACATCCGCACCAGAGTCTACAAGACCAGAAAAAAGAATGCCATTGATTAAAAAAGGCATCACCAGTTTTTGGGGAGTAATTTGCTTTGTTAGTGCCAATAAATCAAAGGAAGAATTCCCAGAGTGAGGTGCATATGCAGCCTCTGGAATGGGTGGTGCTGGACGTGGTAATAAGACCAAGCGTGCCACCGTATCCCCCCGGTTCATTGTGACAGGGAGATTGGTATAAAATTGGACTTTTAGGGTGTCTTTATATGTGGGATCTATCATACCTGGAAGCACAAACACTCCTTGTTCCCGAGCAACAGGTGTGGGAAGGATTATTGCCTCCGTTTCCGGAGGTAAGGGTCCAGAATAAAGGGTTTCAGCAACCGTGAGTAGGTTAGGAAAAGTAACAGAAAGATCAGAAGCCAATTTTAAATCAATGCCAGAAAAACATTGCGAAGCTGGAGTAAGATCTGAAAAGGATGCAGCCTTTGGAGAGGGGTTAGCTACAGACCCCTTTGTTAGTTTCCCCGATTAGACTGAGAGGAATGGCACTGATTGGCCCAATGAAAACCCTTTTTACATTTTGAGCACACAGTTTTGGGCTTGGCTCTGGGGATGGCAGCGGGTCGAGCTGCGCCGCCTCCTGGAGCTTTGCATTGTTTTTTAAAATGACCAGATTTCCCACAATTAAAGCAAGTGCCTTGGGGTTGATTCCCCTTTTGGATTGCAGCTGCAAGACTGTCCATTTGAAAAGCATTGGTTCCCACAATGCGACAGGCTTTAAGAAAGCCTGCCAGAGTGGCCGTGGGATTGGTCATTCTGAGCCTCAGCTTCCCTGACTTCATCTTTGCTGATTCAGGCTATATGCTGGTATATCTGCTTTAGTCCCACATTCCATTTTTTATATGTATCCTCTTTTTACTTTCAGTTTATCAGAGTTTTTTATGTAATCATGCTGATTTCTTCTTGGATTTCTTATTTTTCTTTTCCAGAGATATTGTAGTGTGAGGTGGTCTCCCATGGAGAATGAGACACACACGCAGCAGGTATCTCGGGATGGGAGCCCAGAGCTGACTCCAGCACCCTCTTTTATTGTTACTAAGGTTTTTACATCACACAGCATAATCAAAAGACGTATATAGGGGTGGTTACAATATATCAAATAACAGACACTTTCCAGATGCAAGGCTACTGCAGGTGTTCTTATCAGAGTCTGTCCAAATGTTTGATGAATGCATCCTGTGTCTAGAAACAGTCCGTTTGTTATCTCAGGCCCTTGTGGGAGATGCCTATGGGCAGATGTCTATGGGCATATTCGTGCAATTAATCCCACAGTAGTGAACAGCAGTTTGGCAGTTTGACTCTCACCAGGCTCAAGATTGACTCAGCCTTCCATCCTTCCGAGGTTGGTAAAATGAGGATCCAGATTGTTGAGAGAAAGTGCATTCACTGGACTGTTAACATCTATCAAAGGCCTAATCTTACTGTGGAATGATGAGATAGAGCTACTGACTCAGTTGCTGTAGAGCTTAGCTAACCCAAGAAATACTAGTCTATGAAAGAGACAGGACAACACCTGGAATTCAGATGACAATGGTTAATCCTTGGAAAGGAAGGAATTTGGCTTATTACTGTCCGTGGATGGGAGGATATTTTTTTTCAGGTTGCCATATAATTCAGTCAAATAATTTTATTATGTATATGGTCATAGCCATATACATAATCTATAACAGTGATGGCGAACCTTTTAGAGACTGAGTGCCCCGCCTCTGCTCCACCTCCTGCTCTGCTCCGCCCTACTCTGCTTGCCTGCAGGGCCACTCACCGCCTCCAGGGCCTGTTGCAGATCGCCCAGGCAGCCCAGCAGTGCCATGGCCACGCCCTCTGCCCACGCCCTGCAGTATCAACTGCGCGCATTGGGGCGTGAGGGCAGTCTTGTCTATGCTGCTTGGCTGCGTAGTTCTCCTTTTTTTGGTTTCAATCTTCATGTTTCCTGTTGAGTGATAGCAGTGCTGCTTCTCTGGATTACTGGAGATTGGCCTCTCTGAGTTCTCTTTGTGTTAAATTTAGGAAGAAGAGGGCTTGGGGTGAAGATGCAGAGGCAGCGGGCAGCTGTGGGAACAAAGTAATGGCCAAGCTCCCAATAAGCCCAAGGCCTTACTGTGCAGAATTTCTAAATACCTGGAATGTCCCCCATCTATTTCCCTTTTCATAAAAGAAAGGAACAAAAATGAGTATAATTTATTTAATTGGTATTGCGGTTCCCCCCCCCTTTATTCCCCAGTACCTTAATTTGCATTTTATTGCAACATGTATTGGAGTGGTATTGTCAGAGTGGAGAGGAAGACTGAACTAAGTGCATGAGTGACAAAAGAAGTGAAAAAATATCAATAGTTAAACATTCATTAGTTTCATGTTTTAATTTCAGCTATCTTATAGTATTGTCTTGATTCTAAGTACAAAATATTGCCTTCTGTCAACCTCTTGCTTGACTCACATAAGGAAGGAAAAGGACAAGGAGGTTTCTGCATATTGTTGAAATTATTTATGAAATAAAAATTACAAAATATACATTGAAAACAATGTACATATATACTTGGCTAGCTCAATTGCCTCTGGGATCATTTAGATTTTGAATTTTGGTTGCAGAGATCTAGATCTAGTTGCTAGTATCAGAATGGTACACTAGCCCAGTTGGTCTTCTACTTCATCCCCAAAAAACCCAGCCCAATGTATCTGAAGTCTGGGAGTAAACTATACAATACCGGTAGTTTTTAAAACTTCCACTAATAGACTGCACTGCTTGAATTCTAGAACCATGCCAGAGGGAATAGCTTGGGAGTTTTCAACACTGACTTGTGATCAGGTTGAATTCCTTTACAAGCCGAAGGCCAAAAAGACGAAAGGACTGTTGCTGGATGATTTACAACTAATTTAATTATTGGTTTTATATTAAACAGATGCAACATTTATTTCGGTATGCCACAGTCTTCTAATTTTGGATCATATTAATATTTTTAAAAGGCAGCTTTAATACTGTTAGCAGATGGATGCATGTTATTGCAGTAGAGGGAGCTGGAAACTCTCAATATACCTAGCTATAAATATTTTTTGACATTTATTATCCTCACTTGAGTTCAGGTGCTAAAATACTTGGACTTAAAATGTGGCTATAGTTGAAAAAAATAGATATTGCTCCTAATAATTTCTCAGGCAATGATGGAGATCAAACACAGCAGGGAGATGAAATCTCTATTTGTGAGATATGTACTGAATTGACAAAATTTAGGTTAGCTTCCTGATGTCAAGCCACATAGCTTTTCAGATTTTCCTCTGATATAAAATAACAGATTACCTTAAAATATCTTGTATTGTGGTCCTGTACCTAGTAATGGAGATTTTTAAGTTCACTATTATCTGCCTGTGAGCTTTGCTTGTCCTGCGGGAAGTAGAAGGATTAAGTTAACCAGAAGATCACATCCCTTAGAAAATCTGTCCAATAAATAAACTTGAGGTGTACGTAATACAGTGAATTATAAGACGTATCTTTTTAAGTTAATACATTTTGCCATAGTTTGTGTTGATGTGGTTGGTGTGAGATCAGAAATAGAGCACAACAATGATGAAAAGTGTCTTGAATACATTTGGGTCAATATAGAAGGAGGAAAAAATGACGTTGTCATAGGTGTATACTATAGCCACCCAATCAAACAGGAAATAAATGAACTTTTTGCTAATCAGCTAACTAAGGTATGTAGGAAGTATATCACAGTAGTAATGGGGGACTTTAACTACCCTGACATCAACTGGGAGACAAACTCTGCACCAAGTGGAAGATCAAACAGATTCCTGACAAACCTAGCAGACAACTTTGTCTGCCAAAAAGTAGAGGAGGGAACTAGGGGATCAGCCATATTGGACCTAATTCTCACTAACAGAGATGAAATGATAGAAGGTGTTGAAGCAACCTTGGGGAAGAGTGATCATGCAATATTGAAATTGAACATTATGCAAGCACAAGCAGTAGAACACAGTCAAACTAGAGTCTTGGACTTTAAGAGAGCTAATTTCAATAAACTTACAGCTTGGGAAGGATTCCATGGATGAGAATCCTCAAGGGGAAAACAAATCAAGAAGCTTGAGAAATTTTGAAAAGTGAGATTATAAAAGCCCAGTCTAGCACAATATCAACGAAGAAGAAAAATAACAGCTCTCAAAAGAAACCAGCATGGCTGCATAAAGAACTCTGATAAATTGAAAGACAAAAAGGACAAGTATAAAAAGTGGAAAGGGGCACATAACTAAGGCAGAATATCAGCAAATAGCCCAAGCCTGCAAAGATGAAGTGAGGGAAGCTAAGGCTAAAAATGAACTAAGGCTTGCGACAAAAGTAAAAAAAATAACAAAAAAACTTCTTTCAACATGTAAAAAACAAGAAAAAGGAAATGATTGGCCCATTAGTGGGAGAAAGTGGCAAGAAGGTGACAAGCAACAGGGAGAAAGCAGAATTATTTAACTTGTTTTTTGCCTCTGTCTTTACACAAAGGGAAAAAAAACAGTCCAACCAATCAAAAACAGTACCATAAAAAACAGTTTAGAAACACAAGATAGGCAAGAAAATAGTAAGCAAGCATCTGTCCACCCTAGACAAGTTCAAATCACCAGGACCGGATAGATTACCCTCCAAGGTCCTGAAGGAACTGGCAGATGTGATCTCAGAACTATATATTTCAAAGATCCTGGAGCACTGGGGAACTAATGTAGTTTCCATCTTTAAAAAAAAAAGGGGGGGGGAAAGGACCTAGGAAATTACAGACCTATCAGCCTGACCTCAATACCTGGGAAGATTCTGGAAAAGATAATCAAACAACGAATCAGCGAACACCTAGAGGCAAACAAAGTCATTACCAAAAGCCAACATGGGTTTGTCAAAAAAGATCATGCCAGACAAATCTTATTGCATTCTTTGACCAAGTGACAAAATTAGTGGACCAGAGGAATGCTGTGGATATAATTTATTTGGACTTCAGTAAGGCATTTGATAAAGTAGACCACATCCTACTACTTGATGAGATAGAAAAATGTGGTTAGACAGCATCACCACCAGATGGATTCATAGCTGGCTGACTGGCCATACTCAGCATGTGATCCTCAATGGATCTACATCTACATGGAGGGAAGTGTGTAGTGGGCTCTGTTCTGGGACCAGTGCTCTTCAACATCTTCATCAATGATTTGAATAAGGGGATAGATGGGGAACTCATCAAATTTGCAGATGACACCAAGCTGGCAGGAATAGCCAACACTCCAGAAGATAGGCTTAAGATATAGAGGATCTTGACGGACTTGAACATTGGGCACTATCTAACAAAATGAAATTCAATGATGAAAAAAATAAGGTTCTACATTTAGGCAAGAAAAAAACAAATGTACAGGTATAGTATATAGGTGGTACCTTGCTCAATAGTAGTAACTGCAAGAGGAATCTCAGAGTCCTAGTGGACAATCACTTAAATATGAGCCAGCAGTGTGCTGCAGCTGCCAAAAAAGCTAACGCAGTGCTAGGCTGCATTAACAAAGGGATAGAACCAAGATCACGTGAAGTGTTAATACCACTTTACAATGCCTTGGTAAGGCCACACTTGGAATACTGCATCCAGTTTTGGTCACCACGATGTAAAAAAGATGTTGAGACTCTAGAACAGTGGTTCTCAACCTGCGGGCCGGGACCCCATTTGGGGTCGAACAACCATTTCACGGGGGTTGCCAAACAACGCAGTCCGCCATTTTTTTCCCCTTTTCCTTAGCTGTGCTACTCCCTTTTATTCTATTGGCTTTTGAAAGCCAATAGAATAAACTCTCTTGAATAGAGTCTAATTCTATTGGCTTTCAAAAGCCAATAGGAATTGTCCAGGCTGTCTCTGCCCTGCTGAGCCCGTCAAAAGTCCCATTCTGCAAACGGTGCTGCACCAGTTGAGTAATCCTCGACTTACAACTGGTTGAGTAGTCCTCGACTTACGACCAGTTGGGGGTCGCGGCATTAAAAAGGTTGAGAACCACTGCTCTAGAAAGACACAGGGAAGAGCAACAAAGATGATCAGGGGACTGGAGGCTAAAACATAAGGAACGGTTGCTGGAATTGGATATGTCTAGTTTAATAAAAAGAAAGACTAAGGGTGACATGATAGCAGTGTTCCAACATCTCAGGGGTTTGCCACAAGGAAGAGGGAGTCAAGCTATTCTCCAAAGCACCTGAATTCAAAAGAAGAAGCAACAGATGGAAACTAATCAAGGAGAGAAGCAACCTAGAACCAAGGAGAAATTTCCTGACAGAACAGTTAATCAGTGAAACAACCTGCCTCTAAAAGCTGTGAATGCTCCAACACTGGAAGTTTTTAAGAAGAGACTGGATAGCCATTTGTCTGAAATGGTATAGAGTTTCCTGCCTGAGCAGGGGGCTGGACTAGACGACCTCCAAGGTCCCTTCCAACATTATTATTATTGTTGTTATCATCAGCATCAGTATCAAGGAGCACATCAAGGATCATCATTACAATCACCTGTAAGGTAAACTATATTGCAGATATTATTCATTTGGAAGTTAACCTACATGATATAAGTCTAGATGTTAAACTAGGCAAAAGTTCCAGGAGATAACTAAAGGGGAAATAAGATGCCACTCATTAGCTATTTAAGAATATATTCCAGAAAAATATCAGTGAAACACAAAATTTTTACATGCTTGAAACTGTAATCCTGTATACTGCCCAGAGTTGCTATAGCAGTGAGATAGGAAGCATAGAAATGTAATAAATAAATACAATAAATAATTCTAGCATCCTTCTCTCAAGTAACTATCACATTTTGCAGATTGGCACCAAAAGACGGTGTGTTTTCTTTTGCTGCTTCATGTGGTAAGCTCCATTCTCCTGAGTGATCATGGATGACTCTGCTTGGAATATCTTCTAGGCCAGACCCTGACCTTTTCTTGAACACAATCCATCTTGTTTAGCAATTCCTAGAAGCCATGTCTGTCTTATGGTTTCCTCTGCTATGCCAAAATATTGTATATAATTTCTATCTATTATCTACAAATCACTGATTAAAGATTTTGCAAGAGAATTAGCTAAGAATATCCAGAAAAGTATTTTTCACAACTCAGGAAATGCAAACAAGATTTAATATGTAGGTGAGACTAAACAACATATTAATTTCTTTAAACTAAAAGATTACATCAAATCTTATGAAAAAAAAGCTTGTTTAGCAATTGAGATATGCCTTCCAAGACTTTTGCTGTTCAGGTAAGGAAGAATTCATCATTGACTGCATTATTTTCACAGGTACTGTAGACTTCCTTTGAGTTATCAAATGGGATAGTACAGATAGAAGATATGAAATATTTCATGAAGATATTATTCTAAAATATAAAACCTCTGTTGATTAACTGAGAAACTACTAACACATATTCTGTTTGAAATGACTTTGGGGGAAAAATAATCCAAACAATCAATTCCAGTATTTAAAATGAAATATCATTGTCTTGTTTGCAGGGGCTGGGAATACTTGTTGCCCAGAAGTCAACCTATTTCTAAAGTGTTCTGATCAAAAATATTGAAGTTAATTCCAAAATGTATGTTCTAGGTCCACCTTGCATAAGCAAGCAAGAAGAACAAAAAGCCACCAAAAAAGACCCAGAAGAATCAAGCATTTTCTCTATATCCATCTTAGATCTTCCTCAAAGCTATCAGGCAATTTCAGTTCTAAAACTTGAAAAATAAGCAAATTGAAACAATACTGGAAGAATGCAAATCCTTATTTCATTCATTACCCACCACACTGCCCCAAATTTGGAACTTCCATCTTGTATTTTCAAGTATTTAACCAAACAAGATGAATCTGATAGCATTCTATTCAAAAATAAATGTCACTATTTTCAATAAGACAGATTTTTAATTTTATTAAAGGATAAAAGTCATTAAACATAAGTCTCAAACTACAAGAATATTGTCTAAATCAGTGGTTCTCAACCTTTTTAATGCTGCGACCCCCCATCCGGTCGTAAGTCGAGGACTACCCAACCGGTCGTAAGTCAAGGACTACCCAACCGGTTGTAAGTCGAGGACTACTCAACTGGTCATAAGTCAAGGACTGCCCGGGAGTGCTGCGCATGCGTGGTGCGGCCCCCTGCACCGGCCGAGGCGTAGCTGGCAAGGGGCAGCAACGGCGCAGGGCAACCACCAGCTGGGCCACCAGCTGGCCCAGTCCAAGGGAGGTAAGGCACCCGCCGGGCCCCACACGTGCCAGCAACCCTCCCTGCGCCAGCAACCCTCCCACCTCCCATTCCTGGCCCTCTTTTACTTACATTTTTAGTAGTTGCTCAGCAGGGAGGGGTGGAAACTTCCAGACAGCTCACCTTCGCTGCAGACAACTTGTGGCACCGTTTGCAGAATGGGACTTTTGGCGGGCTCAGCAGGGCAGAGACAGCCTGGACAATTCCTATTGGCTTTTGAAAGCCAATAGAATTAGACTCTATTCAAGAGAGTCTATTCTATTGGCTTTCAAAAGCCAATAGAATAAAAGGGAGTAGCACAGCTAAGGAAAAGGAGAAAAAAATTGTGGACTGCGTTGTTTGGCGACCCCCGTGAAATGGTCGTTCGACCCCAAATGGGGTCCCGACCCACAGGTTGAGAACCGCTGGTCTAAATCCTCAAGGGTGTATCACAGGAAGAATTCCAATTAAAATAAAAAGAGAAATCTTACTGAAAATTTCAAAGGATCATGACATAATCACAATGTATAACATATATTTGAGAAATTTTATTCATGAAATAGTAGACTAGCATACAAGGGCTAGATCATTCAGTTAGTTGTAAATGGCTTATTCCATTCTACACAAGCAAATGAGATAATGAAATCAATATTTTTGCACCATTAGTACCTTTAGAATATACCTTAATATGAATTTTTTGCTTGGCTAGGTTGTGGCTGAATTTCCTGCCAGTTGTGCTCTGGCCATCATCTTACTCCTTTTATCACTCCCAACTCTCCATAAATTAAATAGATAATGATTGAGTTCTCCAAGACATGACAGCACACCAAGGACTGACTGTGTTGACAGCCGGAACCACCTCTGAGGTCAGCAACACAGGTGCTGACAGGAAAGTTACCCATATAACTAGGAAAGCATCCAGGAGACATTCAAAAACCGTTATACAGCTTCCTCACATAAGGTCCTTATGCTGTTACAGCTAAGTAGGTTTATGATCAATAAATAAAAATGACTTTGGCTCCACATCTACAGAACAAGATACTAAATTGAATGTGCACATCATTTTGATATATTCAGAAACATTCACTAACATTGCAATCTTGATGTGTTTGTGGCTTAGAATATTGCACTTGGTGCCAGAGAGTCCAAAAATAGGTGGTATAATTCTCAAAGTATTTCCACGCATTCATGCATCTGATGCAATGGATTCTAGTTCATGGAAAATATCTAATACAGTACAAGTAGACCCATCTGTATTTCTTCCTGAGCACTTGAGATACGGAGAAGGTTCCAACTTGGTTTCCTTATGATTTTCTTTCCAGCACCGGTGGTGAACTGCTCTGGGCCATCGTCACCTCATCATACTGCAGTGGGAATGAGGTCCTGGCCCTGCTCTTGGCCAAGGTGAAAAAGTGCCATTGAATGCCTCAAGAAGAAGAACAATCCAGCCATCCTCTTCCTGCAACTACGGTAAGGGGTACAGCTTGAATGGAGATGGTCCTCTTTTATGCACAGACTTCAACCTCTCTGTCTTGGAGATGCCATCATGTTGCCTGCATCTCTGGGCTCTCAGGAGGCAAATGAGAAGCATTTCTTGGAAACCCATTAAGAAGGAGTTTGGGAAGAAAGAGACTTGGGTGCTAAGAGTTGGCAAAGAGAGCAATTCTACCAAAAGGTGGGTTGTTTTTTTTCCTGTTAGCCAACTTTCCTTAGGAGCTCTGTTGGTGAGTCAGATCTCCTCTTGTCAGGCCAGAGCAATAAGGCTCATTGGGAGGATTGGGAGGTCTGAGGAGTGTCCTGTGATGTTGGAGGCTGGGTTCCCCAAATTCTGCTCTGCCTGCTGCATACTATCATTAAAGGTACCAGGCACCTGAATACAATATATCCATCCAAGGAGGGGACCTTCTGCCTGTGGAATAAGCCTTGGCACTGGGATGGAGAAACCTTCTCTTCTTGATATTCTGAGTTCCCTCTTCCCTTCACATGTCCAAGCAAGTTTTCTGGCTTCTTGTGGAGTTTCAGGGAGAGAGACAATTTACAGATGGAGGCTTCCCTTGGGGACTAGCACAAAAGATTTCTTATGCCCCTTGGACTATGGGATTGTGCCTTAGTAATTCTGGCCTTCTTTCCTCTGCAAGGAGACCATTGATATAATCTATACAGGACACTAACGGGGAGATGTTGTGCCATCCTAATTGAGCTTTTCTCCCCAGATAATCTTTTCTCTGCTCTCAAAGCCCTGTCTGTCTGATTGTTTTCCTCAAAAGAACTTTGATTTGTTGTAGGCCCCTCATTGAGATCCTACCCTCTACTGCAGCCTCCAGAGACATCTAAGGTTTGCTTTGAACAGCAAATGGGCCAAGAATCGTTTAGTTGCAGTTGTGGCTTTCTTTGTTGAGGTGTAATAATCCCTACCTGTGGGATTCTGAGCCAGAGAGGCAATGGGAGTTGGCTGGCAAGGGAAAAAAAAAAACATGAGTTGACTCAGGACAACTTCAGATCCCATTGAGAGGGATCAAGCTCCAAATGGGATCTCTCTTGTTTCTGTCCAGCTAAGTGCCAAAGATCAAGAATGAAGGATATCCCCTGGTGGCCTTTTTGGCCCTTTCTCCCTTTCAAGCTCATTCCTTCTCTTTCATCCTCCAGCCACTAATGGGTCTTCTACCGCTCTGCTGTCTTTCAGTTGCTGGTTAAATGCAAGAGTCAAGCCTTTGGAGAAGACCTGGAAGCTCTTAATGATTTGACTGAAACACCCTCACATGACTGTTCATGAGCTGAACAGAAAGGGCCTTCTCCATATGTGTGAGAATGACATGGTGGTAAGTGGCCCTCACCCAAAGTGGGTAGACAAATGTGATGTTTCTCTTCTTCAGGAACAGTTGTAGAGGACACTTCCTTCCTGTAAGTAATTCTTTTTATAGTGATGGCAATAATGCTGCTACTCTGGACAAATTCACCCAAAGGTCCCTCTTATCCCAGGATGAGAGGGGTAAGAGCATGTGAGGAGGCAGCATATCTTCCTTTTATTGTCCTAAGATGATGATGGCTTGCTGCTCTCATGTTATATCTTCAATTTGATCTCAGTGTTAAGAGTTGATTGTTAGCTAAGAAACCTAGCCATGATTAGAAAAGTTAGGTTTTTTTGTCTTTCCTTCATTGGAGGAAAGTTTTTCAGATCTGCCATTTTCTCTGCAGATTATGAGCCTTGAGGAGCTCTGCCACACAATCCTCGATGGGCTCTGCAAGGTCCAGCCCTGACATTATCTTGGAGTTCTTGGGTTTGGCGGACCAGCTTGGCTTCCAAATGCAGGATGTTTGAAGACCCCTGAATGCCTCCTTGGCTGCCCAGTACTGCTGTCTCTTCAACCACATGTGTCCTTAGCTCCTCCTTCCTAGGAAGAAGAAAGGACTCATGTCGTTGAGGAGAAAGCAGTACTGGGCAGCCAAGGTGTCAAGGTAATAATTTAATAGCTAAACGGCTTACATAATGATGTAATGTAACGTAAAGTGGATGAGGCAATGACAGGAATGACTCAGAAGGAGTCTGTGTCCCTTTAAGAGCCTGAGTATAAAAGGGAAGGCTTTTGCTGGAGTATCTCTCTCTTGTTTGTTTCCTGCAGGCCACTTTAGCTGACTGTGTTCAGCAGGTCAGCGGTTCAAATCTCACCGGCTCAAGGTTGACTCAGCCTTCCATCCTTCCGGGTAGGTAAAATGAGGACCCAGATTGTTGGGGGCAATGTAAATATATATATATACATTGCTTACTGGTGTACACCGCTTAGAGAGTGCTTGCACTTAAAGCGGTATATAAGTCTCATAAATAAATAAATAAATAAAATAAATATTACCACATGTATGTATTTTGCTCCTAGTGTATATTGTAGATAGTGTATGATAAACCACCATTTAATACAAACCACTGTTTACTGTGTTTACTCCTGGGTTACGTCAACGCAATAAGACTGTGCATGCTCTGACACAAGGACTTTAGCTTTTGATGATTAGAATGATTTTGTTACATACGAATGGTTTAAAATGTGGTAAAATGTAAAGCAAAAAGTTAAGGTTGTATTACTTTGGCATTTTACTGCACTGAAAAAGTTGGAAGAGACCACTTTTGTTTTTCTTTCACCGAGTTTGGCTTTTTCTATACTTTTATTTTACACTTAAACTTAATAAAAGAAATATGAAAAAAAGATATTTCTCATTCCATTACCAGTGAACATAGTAGCCATTCTCCTTACTGATGCCTGCTTGCTCTTAAAATAGAAATGGCAGGTGAACATTTCCTCCCTCTCCTCCATCTCTGAGATGGGAAACCAAATCTAGGAAAAGAGACAGAATGAGGGGGGAGGGCTCCAAATGTTTTCTAGTACCATCCCTGCTTCTCGCCTCCAGAGAGGAATGGAAGCCAGACAAAGGTACTGTGTTGATATGATGAAGCATCTCCTGCAACATGTAGGTCCTCTCTGCCAGGAAGGTTCCCCAAGGTTCCATTAGAGATGCCTGAGGATGTCCTTTGCCATCTTCAAAAAAAAGATGAGAGAAAAAAGTGGATGCCATTATTCTACTGCTTTCCTCAGCTAGCCAAGCTGCAATCCTCTTTTCCTGGACAAGCCAGGCCCTCGCCTCTGCCCCCTCCTCCTTGACATCTGCCAGGTGCATCAGCACCACAATGAGGGGGTGGGCGAATGTTGTCCCCTCAAGCTTTTTCTGATGGTGCAAGAGAGGCCAGATGTAGTTTAAAGCTGCCCATTGGATGGTTGCCACCTCTTACGAAGGACAAAAGAAAACGATCTTTTCCTTGCCCTGCAAAAAATGGGTCCCCCGTCTTCTCCATTGACTTCCAAGTAGAAACAAAACTAGATAAATTACTCTTTAATTAAAACAGTTTTACATCTCTGCTAACTCCATCGTCTTTACCATCCACTGTTCCAGGGTGGGAATTGGCATATTTCCATCTTTGTGAATGTAAGATTCTTGCTGCTGTCAACAAATACAATAACAAATTTCCAAATTTTCTTTCAAGTTTTTTGTCCATGAAACCTAAAAGGAAAGCTTCTGGTTTCAATTTTATATTTCTTTTAAGAATCTTCTGAATTAAAGTGAAATTTATTTCTTTGGTACCAGTATTTCTTTGCTTCGTCAAAGTCCAAAAGAGATGGTAAAAGTACCTCTGTGTGTTTTTCTCCATTTTCTCCTTTATAGATTGCATGGTTTATCAGAATAGCAGCTTCCTAACCGGAGAGATGTTTTACATCTGCCATGCTTGTAAGCAATGTCTGTGAAAACATCTGGGTTAGCAGTGTGAGAAAGGGAAGGAGGGAGGGAAAAAAGAAAAGAAAAGGAAAAAGAAAGAAAGAAAGAAAGAAAGAGAAAGAAAGAGAGAGAGAGAGAGAGAGAGAGAGAGAGAAAGAAAGAAAGAAAGAAAGAAAGAAAGAAAGAAAGAAAGAAAGAAAGAAAGAAAGAAAAGGGTTATTATGATGGGTGGATTTTGAAGATCTGGTCTAATAGTTATCTTTATATAGGTCAGTGGTTCTCAACCTTTTTAATGCCACGACCCCCAACTGTTCGTAAGTCGAGGACTACTCAACCGGTCGTAAGTTGAGGACTACTCAACTGGTGCAGCACCGTTTGCAGAATGGGACTTTTGGCGGGCTCAGCAGGGCAGAGACAGCCTGGACAATTCCTATTGGCTTTTGAAAGCCAATAAATTAGACTCTATTCAAGAGAGTCCATTCTATTAGCTTTCAAAAGCCAATAGAATAAAAGGGAGTAGCACAGCTAAGGAAAAGGGGAAAAAAATGGCAGACGGCGTTGTTTGGCGACCCCTGTGAAATGGTCGTTCGACCCCAAATGGGGTCCCGACCCACAGGTTGAGAACCACTGATATAGGTGGAGAAAATTCTTGCTGGCCAGGACCCTGCAGTCAGGCAAGTTGTGTACCAAACGGAAGTTTTGGTGAAAAAAGCCCTCTCCCTCCATTCTGAAGACGGTCTGACGTCTGCCTTCTATTGCTTGACTGCAAGTTGGAAGTAATGATACCCCTTGAGTATAAAGGGCTTTCTATAGAATTTGCAGAAATACTGGGTATTTTGTTAAAAAAAAAAGGACCACAAAGAATAGAAAACAACTGAAGTGGGAATGCAGATGATAAGCCAAACAATTGACCTAGATAAGGACTTTTTACTGGACTTGCAAAAGAAATGGTTAAGCCTTGAAGAAAATTTCAAAATGGAGGAAAGAACAATTGAAGATCAGACCTATGATAACAAACATCTGAAAAATTATTGTATACTGTCGGCTTCCTTCTGGGAAGCTGGAAGTGAACATTAACTTGCTTCCTTCCCTCCTCCCTTCTTCCCTCCCTCTGTCTTCTTCTGTTCTATCCCTTTCCCTTCTTCCCTTTTTCTCCCTTCATTTAATCCTTCTTTCCTCTTCCCTCCTTTCTTTTTCCTTCCTTCCTTCTTTTTCCCTACTCTCCCTTCTTCTCTTTTCTACCCCTTCCTTCCTCCCTCCCTGCCTTTCACCCTTCTTTCCTTCCCTCTTTTTCCTTTTCTTCCTTCCTTCCTTCCCTCCCTCTTTCTTTCTTTCTTTCTTTCTTTCTTTCTTTCTTTCTTTCTTTCTTTCTTTCTTTCTTTCTTTTCTTTCTTTCCCTCCTCCTTTCATACTTTTATTCTCATCCTCTTCTTTTTCCTTCCTTCCTTCCTTCCTTCCTTCCTTCCTTCCTTCCTTCCTTCCTTCCTTCCTTCCTTCCTTCCTTCCCCACATCATTCCAAAGTTGGAGTGGTTCAATTTTCAAAACTCTCTTCTTGCATAGCTGTTTTGAACATGCGCACAAGTGGCCACCTTCACATTTTTAATTATTACAGATGTTTTTAAGTATGATATAATTGTTTAGGGAAATATATTAAAAGCTCTCAAGTGATTAGTCAGTGCAGTATTTCAATTAATGAATCAATGCACTAATCATCTGCTGTTGGTTACTATTTTGGAGATGACCATCTCACAGAACACATGACCTGCATGTAGAAATTTCTGTGTACAAATCTAGGAGTTCCAAAATTTGGCTTACCGTATTTATTCCTTTTAATGTACACAATAGTGTGGAATAAAAAATAAAACAAATTATAGAATACCTGGAAATGCTATTCTATAATTTGACAAGCACACAAGAATGAAATCAATTCCAGAATCGGCAGTTGTAGCCAAGCTGAGTTAATTGAAGGCTACAAATATTATTATTTCTTTTACCATCTTGCTCTCTCAGGCTGTTTCATCTGGGTCTGATTCTGCAGTGTGCCATCCATGGGCAATGTCATCCCCTCAGATACTGCCTTTAGTCTGCATTTCAACTTCATCACCTCTTAATTTCTAATTAATACAAAAAAAAAAAGGTGGCACTTGGGAAAGGTAGGATCTGCTATTTTAGATAAGTATGTTGTAACCTGCATTACCATTTCCTACTGAAGATTCACAGAATTGTTCTGGATAAGAGTTTAAGCTGATCTGTGGAAAGAAATAGATGAAGCATAGTAAGTTCCCCTAAACAGTATGCCCCTTCAGTTTAAGGTATGTTTCTGAACAAAGCCTGACCCAGCACCCTTTTTCTTCAGCTTCCAGACTGGATTGGGGTTACAGTTAGAACGCCTTGTGATTGTCTCTGTTTCCCTCCATTGATATCTTCTAATGGTATATCATTTAAAATGGAACATAGAGAAGTCAGCCATATTCAATGAGATCAGCTTGATATTTAATTTATATTCTTTATCAAAACTGCCCTTCATCCAAAAAAATTCAGAGTATTCATTCTGTTTTTCAATAACAAATCTGATGTGAATAATTGAGTTTTTCCAGGGAACCTCCCACTAGTAGATGGCTTATTCTGAGGATTTTCAGATGTATGTTTGCTTCAGCCATATGCATTTATTTTCTAGATACATGGTAGATATATGGATATATAGTAGATATCTGGAGCAAAATATCAGCAGATATTTCTTGTTTAACTGACTTATTAGTTTGGGATCTTTAGCTTAGCTTCCTATTAAAATCTTTTGGAAAATACTTGTTTCTTCTCTCAGAATTTCCACTAAGCTCTCCAGGAAGTAATACTGAGAAGGATTTGTTTGATAGTTATGTGTTCATCATATCTTGAGCAGGCATAAGTGGATTCTATTATCCACAGATATTGCCCAGGTCTACGTGCTGCATTTCAACGGCTTATAGTTTAATTTTTCTGCAGCACCCAGATGAAAACGTTTAGGTAATCTGAGTGCTCTTGAGAAATCTGCCTTAAAAATAATCACCTCATCTTGATAACTGAACATATGGTGCACAGCAA